AAAGAGGCACTGAGTTTGAAGGTAGGCCTTGAAATACATCCACAGGTACACCTCCAATTGACTCAAATTATGTCAATTAGCCTATCAGAAGCTTCTAAAGCCATGACATCATTTTCTGGAATTTTCCAAGCTGTTTAAAGGCACAGTAAACTTCTGACCCGCTGGAATTGTGATACAGTGAATTATAAGTGAAATAATCTGTCTGTAAACAATTTTTGGAAAAATTACTTGATGTCAGATGTCCTAACCAACTTGCCAAAACTATAGTTTGTTAACAAGAAATGTGTGGAGTGGTTGAAAAACGAGTTTTAATGACTCCACCCAAAGTGTATGTAAACTTCCGACTTAAACTGTATTTAATCAATTTTAAATTCAGGCTGTAACACAAATGTGGAATAAGTGAAGGGGTACTAATACTTTCTGGGGACCAAAAGTATTTGGAAAAAATTAATTTATATGTGTATTAAAGTAGTACATTTATTTTTTGTATTTGGTCCCATATTCATAGCACGCAATGACTACATTAACCTTGTGATTCCCCCAAGACTTTCTAACCTCTCACCTTTACAATAACAGGGGATATGATATTTGTGTGTCTGTAAGTTTCGTACTGATCATTATTCAGGATTCATTCAGGATTGCACTATCCACTTATTTTTAAGGCTAGAAGTACAGAGGGTAAGAAGACCTGTGTTCACGATACACCCCACATCTTTCTGCTTCAGCACCCCCTGAAAAATCTGAATGTAAAATTTTTCACAAAAATAGTGCACTGGGCCTTTACTCGTATTAGCGGACTGATGTAGACATCTGTAGAGCAGACAAAACATTTTTTGTTCAGCATCTCAGCTTTGGCAAGAAAGTTAGTTGAATAATTAAGAACAGTATCTTGCAGGATTCAATAGTTGGAATTCTAAGAGTTGTTGCCCTGTCCTTTTCTCTGCGATTGTCATTCTAATGGAATCCAGAAAGAACAAAACCATGTCCTCAAACATTTACATCAAAAGGTGCAAAGTTATGGGCAAATTCAAATTAAATATTTTTCTTCATCAAATAACATGGAAAACAACCACTTTTTGTGCAGTATTAATTTACATTTTTTTTTATATTACATTTTCGTCATTTAGCAGACGCTCTTATCCAGAGCGACTTACAAATTGGTGCATTCACCTTATGATAGCCAGTGGGACAACCACTTTACTATTTCTTAATTTTTTTTATTTTCTGGGGGGGTGGGGTAAGGGGGGGTAGAAGGATTACTTTATCCTATCCCAGGTATTCCTTACAAACTACTTAATGTAAATGTACATTACTGTATTGTACATAGGCTGGTCATCTAGGTTTGTACCTGTAGACATTCCATCACCATGAAGAAAAACAATGCACAATACAGTAATTGAGTAAATTAAGACATCAAGTGGTTTGCGATGATGTGATGATGTGGCTCAGTTGGTAGAGCATGGCGCTTGCAATGCTAGGGTTGTGGGTTCGATGGGGGACCAGTACAAAAAAGCATGAAAATGTATGCACTCACTACTGTAAGTTGCTCTGGATAAGAGTGTCTACTAAAATGGAAAAGGAATGAATAGACCATTTCAGTTTTCAAATAGAAATAAGTTGTATTTGCAAAGTATTTCAAGAAACTTTAAAACATACAGTACCAGTCAAACTTTGGACACACCTACTCATTCAAGGGTTTTTCTTTATTTTTTAAAACTATTTTTTACATTGTAGAATAATAGTGAAGACATCAAAACTATGAAATAACACATATGGAATCATGAAGTAAACAAAGAAGTGTTAAACAAATCAAAATATATTTTATATTTGAGATTCTTCAAATAACCACCCTTTGCCTTGATGACAGCTTTGCACACTCTTGGCATTCTCTCAACCAGCTTCATGAGGTAGTCACCTGGAATGCATTTCCATTAACAGGTGTGCCTTGTTAAAATTTAATTTGTGGAATTTCTTTCCTTCTTAATGTGTTTGAGCCAATCAGTTGTGTTGTGACAAGGTAGGGGGTATACAGAAGATAGCCCTATTTGGTAAAAGACCAAGTCCATATTATGGCAAGAACAGCTCAAATAAGCAAAGAGAAACGACAGTCCATCATTACTTTAAGACATGAAGGTCAGTCAATACGGAACAATCCAGAACATTTCCAGAACGTTGAAAGTTTCTTCAAGTGCAGTCGCAAAAACAATCAAGCGCTATGATGAAACTGGCTCTCATGAGGACCGCCACAGGAATGGAAGACCCAGAGTTACCTCTGCTGCAGAGGATACGTTCATTAGAGTTACCAGCCTCAGAAATTGCAGCCCAAATAAATGCTTCACAGAGTTCAAGTCACAGACACATCTCAACATCAACTGTTCAGAGGAGACTGTGTAAATCAGGCCTTCATGGTGGAATTGCTGCAAAGAAACCACTACTAAAGGACACCAATAAGAAGAAGAGACTTGCTTGGGCGAAGAAACACGAGCAATGGACATTAGACCGGTGGAAATTTGTCCTTTGGTCTGGAGTCCAAATTTGAGATTTTTGGTTCCAACTGTCGTGTCTTTGTGAGACGCGGTGTGGGTGAACGGATGATCTCCGCATGTGTATTTCCCACCGTAAAGCATGGAGGAGGTGTTATGATGTGGGGGTGCTTTGCTGGTGACACTGTCTGTGATTTATTTAGAAGTCAGGGCACACTTAAACAGCATGGCTACCACAGCATTCTGCAGTGATACGCCATCCCATCTGGATGGGCTTAGTGGGAATATCATTTGGTTGTCAACAGGACAATGACCCAACACACCTCCAGGCTGTGTAAGGGCTATTTTACCAAGAAGGAGAGAAATGGAGTGCTGCATTAGATGACCTGGCCTCCACAATACCCCAACCTCAACCCAATTGAGATGGTTTGGGATGAGTCGGACCGCAGAGTGAAGGAAAAGCAGCCAACAAGTGCTCAGCATATGTGGGAACTCCTTCAAGACTGTTGGAAAAGCATTCCAGGTGAAGCTGGTTGAGAGAATGCCAAGAGTGTGCAAAGCTGTCATCAAGGCAAAGGGTGGCTATTTGAAGAATCTCAAATTTAAAATATATTTTGATTTGTTTAACACTTTTTTGGTTACTACATGATTCCATATGTGCTATTTCATAGTTTTGATGTCTTCACTGTTATTCTACAATGTAGAAAATTGTAAAAATAAAGAAAAACCCTGGAATGAGTAGGTGTGTCCAAACTTTTGACTGGTACTGTATATCAACCAAGTATTTTCAGATTAACTGTTTTGTACAGATAATTATCAGACTCAAGTTACAAATACTGGTAAACACTCAAATACATGCCTTTACTAGTTCTGTATTAGTGGACCAATATAGACGTCTTCAGCACTGGCAGAATATTTTTTCACAGCACCTCCAAGCTACTTCCTGCAGCTATGACTGAAACCCTACCAGTGCATCATAACATATCTTTGTACTTATGTCAGATGTCATAAAGGCATATAACACTTTAAAATAAACTGGAACGCCACCCAGATGGGTTGTAATGAGTTGATGCCAAAATAAAAATAATACTTTTTGTATAGAAGCTCAAGGGTCAATGACAGTACAGTAGATATCGGCCAAATGCACTTTTGATTCTGATCCCATTTGATTTATGCGTGTCTAGACTGTGGCTATTACCCCATCTCTGTTGGTATTGCCTGATCAGCTCTTTGGACCTTCATGAATCAGGGGCATGATAAAGTTACATTTACTTGCAATATCTGAGAAAAGCATTTTAGATTTAATGTACTGTAGGCCTACTGTAGAGAACATTTCTTAGATGGCTTAGTATGTGTCCACTGTTGGCAGTGTCAAATCTTATCTAGTGGTTCCTGTTCTATGTGTTCTTTCTATGTGTTCTGTGTGTTTGCCAGGCTGGGCAGCAGGGTAGTGGTTGAAAGACAGTGCTGCTGGAGTCTGGGCCAGAAACTGAAACGCCCAAGGGAGGGCACTGAACTGACCAGGGCCTTGCACAATGTACTGTCAACAGTTGCCCATATGCACACTGGCCAACCGAAAAGCCAGGGGGACATTCTCTATGCCATGGCTCAATGTGCTATTAAATCAAATTGAACAACAGCTTGATGGATTCCTTGATTTGTTTCTGAACATTTTGATATTACCTTTCAATACAATAAAGTCACACTCTTGAGGAAAAATATTAAACCATAGTAGCCTACTTAGGAACAGTGAAAGGCTGTCTCTTTACCAACATGCATCTCATGTCCTATTTTCTGTTCCTTAAATATGGAATGTTCCTTAGGCCCACTGAAGGACCCACAATAACCCATGTGTGAATTCTTACTTGCCTAACAAAAATATGTTCACGTGATTGGAGACAGTTTCCCTTGTTTCCTCAGTTTGACTGCTCATGTCAGTTATTTACCAGGTAGGCTAAACGTGTCTGGCGTGGCCACCCTTCCAATCCTGTCTCCTAAAGTAGCCTAAACAACTAGGCCTGGGCTAACCATAGTGACCTGTTAGGCATGTTTGACCTGTTCAGCTTTAATGCCCTTACGAAAAAAGATTGCAGTCAGAGTGTAGTATAACTGCAGTACACTGCAGTATGCTGCAAATACTGCGTCCAAAATAAATAAAAAGGTATTTACTGCAGTAATTTTGCAGTGTAACTGCAGTTAGAGTGCTGTAGTTATTGTGCAATTACTGCGTCCAAAATACCACAGACGACTGCAGTTACTGCACTTTAATCTTTTTTTGTAAGGGTGGTGCTAAAAGTAAAACATCTATAAGAATTTCATAACGGGGCGGGCTGTCAGATAAGATGGAAATGGTCAAAACACGACTGTTGATCGCTGCCGACATCACGTGACTGTCCAGTAATACACACGCTTAGACAGTGACAGTGCCAGTCCAGTGTTAACAGTGCCTGCCTCCTTCAGGCCGAGGTCTTAGTTAGACAGTTCCAAATTCGCACTCACTTCGGTTCCATTCCAGGAGCGCATCGGTTTGGAAATAAAAACGCACCTCCCACCCCCTCCCGTACTGACTGTGACTGGCTCCTCCCATACCGGTTAAATGCCCGCTCGGTGTTTCAATTTAATGCAGTGGAAGGCAGTCATGATATAGGAGCTGTAGAGTTTACCAACTTTATAGCAGCAAGTATTTCCAAGTCTTGTAATCTGTTTATTCCCGGAGCCACAGTTATGAAGACCATACTTGCTGCCTACTCCGGTGCCCTAAAAGGTAAGATATGCACCCTAATTCTAAATGCACTGTTTGCATGCAAACAAATTGCACACAGACTTCAGTCATCCTATCAAGCAGCAGTCAATTGATAATTCGATCATCTTCACTATATTCCAAATCCTGTGCTGTCATATTATTAGCTTTCGTGAGATGGAGAAGCAGCTTGCAAAACATTCAAATATGACTGGGGACTATGGCAGCCCAAAACATAATCAGAAGTTTGTTGTGGATGAAATACATCATTGTCGTGTAAGCCATTCGTTCTGAAAGACAACAGATAAGTCAACACATTAGTGTGTGATGAAGTGTATTTGGGCACAGTGGTTTTCATACATGTTGCTTGCATATTTTTGTGTGTTTAGGGGTCTGATCTGTGAAGGAAGAGAAGTGAAAAAGAGTACACCAGGGCCAGGTTCAGTAGGCAAATGTGAACGTTGACGATATAAATATCATGAATAGGTCTGACAAGCTCCCTTATTCTACATGCCAGAGGCTCAAGTTTGTTCAACATAATATATTTATATCGGCAACCTTCCACAACGTTGTGCCCTGCTGAATGCTGCCCGGTAAGGGGAAAGATTTTAGGTCTTTGACTGATTCAGTGTGTAGTATTACTAGTCCACATCATGTCCTTGACCCTCTGAGGCTGATACTGCCCAGTAGCCCTGATCGAGAGCCTTTGCATCATTGACTTACTATGCAAGTGTGGGCCAGAGAGCAGAACGGCCAGTGTTTTGTTTGACAGCACGACACAGTGTTATTTAGTCCTTTAAGATGGGTTTACATAGCTGTGTTTTCCCGTGGCATGGGGTAGATCTGCTGACGAGGCACTATGAGCTTGAGTAGATTTAGCATAGTCCCCTCAGTGGCTCGCTCTTGTGCTGGTCTGTCACTTCTCCTATATACATCAGTGGAGGCTCCTCCGAGGAGGTAGGGGAGGACCATCCTCCTCAGTGAATTTAATGAAAACAGTGAAACATTCCAGTTATAATTTTTAGATAACTACACTAAATATATTTCCAAGTCACCAAATAATTTATTAAAACACACTGTTTTGCAATGAAGTTCTACAGTAGCCTCAACAGCATTCTGTAGGGTAGCACCATGGTGTAGCCGGAGGACAGCTAGTTTCTGTCCTCATCTGGGTACATTTACTTCAATACAAAACCTAGGAGGCTCATGGTTCTCACCCCCTTCATAGACTTACACAGTAATTATGACAACTTCCGGAGGACGTCCTCCAACCTATCAGAGCTCTTGCAGCAGGAACTGACATGTTGTCCACCCAATCAAAGGATCAGAGAATGAATCTAGTACTGAAAGCATAAGCTACAGCTAGCTAGTACCGCAGTGCATGAAATGTGGTGAGTAGTTGACTCATAGAGAGAAAAAGACTATAGTTGAACAGTTTTAAACAAATTAATGTCTTCAAAAATGTAAGGAGAAGCAAGAGAGAGGGCTAGCAATATTTTGTTGTATTTTTATCACTTAGCTAGCAAATGCAGGTAGCTAGTTTAGTCTACTCAAACAAAGAGGGATGCTATGTTACCTAGCTGGCTATGGCTAGCCAACACTGGAACTCTTCCAAGTCAAGGTAAGCTTTTGGTTTTATAAATGTATTGCCACTGGGGCCCACCGGTGTAATTGATAAACTGCTTGCTGACTGTACACTGTACTGCATGTTTGTAGCAGGTTTACTAACCCGTTAGTTCTAGTAGCTATGTTGACTATGACGTTAGATAATATGGTGACAATGATGTAGGCTGTGTGTAACAGTTATGATATATGAAGCTTTGGCTTGGAAAGGTTTTTTTCACCTGGTCACAGACAGCTGATGTGTTGTGCATTGAAGTCCACAAGCGAAGGGGAAAAGGAGGAGAGCAGGTAGATGTGAGGAGGAATACAATGAGCAAAGTGATCATGCTGTTTGTATGTGGCAGCTATGAAAGTGAACTGTGCTTGCGTGTGATCAGAGGTGTATTCATTCCGCCGATTCTGTGGAAAAAAAAATTCGCAAATGGAATGAAACGGGGATAAACAAATCTGAATTTGTCCAATAGAAACTCTTGTTTGCAACTGTTGGAGTAATGATTACACCCTAGATCAGCTAGATGCAGGCAAGAGTGTGCAAGGCACTATTGAATGTGTCACTGTCACCTTGATTACAAAAAAAATGATCTCTCAACCTGTGCAATTTCATTCATAGGCTAGGTTGTAGCAACCTCATGATGGGTATAGGGCAGGGTTCTTCAATTCCGGTCCTGGAGGGCCGAAACACCTCTGTTTTTCATCATCTCCTTCTAATCAGGGGCTAATTCAGACCTGGGACACCAGGTGAGTGCAATTAACTACCAGGTAGAAATAAAAAACAGAAGTGTCTCGGCCCTCCAGGACCGGAATTGAAGAACCCTGGTATAGGGTAAAATCGAATATCATGTGTGGTAGTCTAAACCTATCAACGTTACGTTGAGCTGGGTAAATGGAATATGAATGACAGTCATCCAATATGCTGTAATAGAAATAAGGCCATGCTCATTAAACGGCACAAACCGCCACTGATATACACAGTGGATAAAACATTAACCAGTTAAACTGTGAGCGGTTGTTTTGGGCTCTGTACAGGGCCCGGTGTGACATATCATTTGAAAGCTACAGGCCTTGTCTTTTTGGAAATCGAACCCCATAAAGGCCATAAATCATGCGCTATGGACATATTCATATAGTATGCAATGTAGGTAAAGTCACCAAAAGTGCAAACATTTAGTATGTATGGAAAGGGTACATGATTTTGTAAAGCAATGCATTTCCTGCTTCATCCTCATTGCCTTGTATGCATCCTCTACATGCGCCTTTTAGCTAGCTCATTGTTTACAATAGGAAAAGTGAATGGGAAAAGTAGTTTGAAGTTTCTTCACCTGTCTGTTTCTTATTTAAAATTAAAATACATTTTAAAAACTCCATAACTTGAAAGCCCTGATTGCTAAGGTCATTTTTAAGGCTTATAATATCCATTCAACCATTTTGGCACAGTGACTCACTACCAAAACCAGACCCAAGTAGCCAAGAGACATCATGTGGTCTCCTACTGCTATCTAGTGGACGAACTGGAATCAGACAGAGGATATATTTACATCAATGGATGGATAGACTTCAGATTTCACCTCATATGTATATCATACCTATAAGACAAATATTTGTTATGTCTGCTGCATCTCGAGCTCTGTAGTAGTCACATTGTTTCTGACACGTTTATCTGAATCCCACAGTTCTTACCTTTCTAACAGTACTAAGCATGTGTTTGTAAGACTTTATAGTTTTGGAACCAAAATGTACATTATGAGGGTAGTATACAATATTATGCGTCGTTTAGAAAATGCCACCAGAGAGGGTCAGAGTTTAACAGGTTTTAAGGACACCTGCACTTTCCATGACATAGACGGACCAGGTGAATCCAGATCCCTTATTGATGTCACTTGTTAAATCCACTTCAATCAGTGTAGATTTGTATTTATTATGGATCCCCATTAGCTGCTGCCAAGGCATTTTTAAACATTAAAATACATTTTACAACAGATTTCACAATACATTATGTGTGTGCCCACTACATTTTTATATTTTTTTACATTTTTAGTCATTTAGCAGGCGCTCTTATCCAGAGCGACTTACAGTTAGTGAGTGCATACATTATTTAATTTTTTTCATACTGGCCCCCCATGGGAATCGTACCCACAACCCTGGCGTTGCAAACGCCATGCTCTACCAACTGAGCTACATCCCTGCCGGCCATTCCCTCCCCTACCCTGGACGACGCTGGGCCAATTGTGCGCCGCCCCATGGGTCTCCTGGTCGCGGCCGGCTATGACAGAGCCTGGATTCGAACCAGGATCTCTAGTGGCACAGCTAGCACTGCAATGCAGTGCCGTAGGCCACTGCGCCACTACTCTACTACACCACACAATCCAGGTGTACGTGTATGTTTATACCTGTGTGTGTGTGTGTGTGACTTCACCGTCCTCACTGTTCCATAAGGTGTATTTTTATCTGCTTTTTAAATGTGATTTTACTGCTTGTGTGAGTTACTTGATGTGAAAAATAATAACGAATGCACTCACTAACTGTAAGTCGCTCTGGATAAGAGCATCTGCTAAATGACTAAAATATAAATGTAAAATGAATAGAGTTCCATGTAGCCATGGCTCTATGTAGTACTGTGCGCCTCCCATAGTCTGTTCTGGACTTGGGGATTGTGAAGAGACCTCTGCTGGCATGTCTTATGGTGTTTACATGGGTGTCCGAGCTGTGTGCTAGTAGTTTTTAAACAGACAGCTCGGCGCATTCAACATGTCAATACTTCTTACAAAAACAAGTAGTGATGACGTCAATTTCTCCTCTACTTTGAGCCATGAGCGATTGACATTCATATTATTAACGTTAGCTCTGTGTGTACATTTAAGGGCCAGCCGTGCTGCCCTGTTCTGGGCCAGTTGTAATTTTCCCAAGTCCCTCTTTGTGGCACCTGACCACACGACTGGGAAGTAGTCCAGGTGCGACAAAACTAAGGCCTGTAGAACCTGCCTTCTTGATATTGTTGTTAAGAAGGCAGAGCAGTGCTTTATTATGGGGAGAGGTCTCCCCATCTTAGCTACTGTTGCATGAATATGTTTTTACCATAAGTTTTACAAATCAAATTGTATTTGTCACATGCGCCGAATACAACAGGTGTAGACCTTACAGTGAAATGCTTACTTACAAGCCCTTAACCAACAATGCAGTTTTTAAGAAAAACAAGTGTTAAGTAAAAAATAGATAAATAAAAAATAATTAAAAAGCAGCAGTAAAATAACAGTAGTACGGGGGGTACCGGTACAGAGTGAATGTGCAGGGGCTCAGGTTAGTCGAGATAATTGAGGTAGGATGTACATGTAGGTAGAGTTAAAGTGACTATGCATAGATAATAAACAGAGTACCAGCAGCGTAAAAGATTGGGTGGGGGGGAACAATGCAAATAGTCCGGGTAGCCATTTGATTAGCTGTTCAGGAGTCTTATGGCTTGGGGGATAGAAGCTGTTAAGAAGCCTTTTGGACCAAGACTTGGTGCTCCGGTACCGCTTGCCGTACGGTAGCAGAGCGAACAGTCTATGACTAGGGTGGCTGGAGTCTTTGAGAATTATTAGGGCCTTCCTCTGACACCACCTGGTATAGAGGTCCTGGATGACAGGAAGCTTGGCCCCAGTGATGTACTGGGCCGTACGCACTACCCTCTGTAGTGCCTTGCGGTCGGAGGCAGAGCAGTTGCTATACCAAGCAGTGATGCAACCAGTTAGGATGGTGCAGCTGTATAACTTTTTGTGGATCTGAGGACCCATGCCACATATTTTCAGTCTCCTGAGGGGGAATAGGCTTTGTCGTGCCCTCTTCACGAATCACGAATGTCTTGGTGTGTTTGGGTATGATAGTTTGTTGGTGATGTGGGACACCAAGGAACTTGAAGCTCTCAATCCAGGGTTACTCCAAGCAGTTTAGTCTCCTCAACTTGCTTAGTTTCAACATTATGCATTAAAAAATTTAGCTGAGGTTTAGTGAATGATTTATTCCAAATACAATGCTTTTTTAAATTTTATTTTTATATTTAGGACTAACTTATTTCTTGCCACCCATTCTGAAACTGACTGCAGCTCTTTGTTAAGTGTTGCAGTGATTTCACTCGCTGTAGTAGCTGACGTGTATAGTGTTGAGTCATCCGCATACATAGACACACAGGCTTTACTCAGAGCCAGTGGTAGGTCATTTAGTAAAGATTGAAAAAGGTAAGGGGCCTAGACAGCTTCCCTGGGGAATGTCTGATTCTACCTGGATTATGTTGGAGAGGCTACCATTAAAGAACACCCTCTGTGTTCTGTTAGACAGGTAACTCTCAATCCACAATATAGCAGGGGGTGTAAAGCTATAATGAAGGGGAAGAGACTGGTTAAAGAAGGATTTTTAAGCCTTGAGACAATTGAGACATGGATTGTGTATGTGTGCCATTCAGAGGGTGAATGGGCAAGACACAATATTTGCCAGGTGCACTGGTTTGAGTGTGTCAAGAACTGCAATGCTGCTGGATATTTCACGGTCAACAGCTTCCCCTGTGTATCAAGAATGGTCCACCACCCAAAGGACATCCAGCCAACTTGACACAACTGTGGGAAGTATTGGAGTCAACATGGGCCAGCATCCCTGTGGAACGCTTTCGACACCTTGTATAGTCCATGGCCGACTAATTGAGGCTGTTCTGAGGGCAAAAGGGACGGGTGCAACTCAATATTAGGTGTCCTTTTAATGTTTTGTACACTCTGTGTATATGTAGCTGTCAGGACTGTGGCTCTGCTCTTTATGAGTAGTGATCGGACCATGGTGGTAAGTGGCTCTGTCTCTGTAGCAATTGCAGTGGCTTGGGGAATTTGACGTGATGTTTATTGCTTGTGGTCTGTTTCATCACGGAGCTTTGTAAGGGATGAACCTTTGTTCATGGTCTCTCTAGTGTCTAATCTAATTTCCCTTGTTTGTGTGTTTTTGTGTATTTGACAGACTTTGAGAACCTGGGAAAGGGATTGACAGTTTATTATTTTCATACTCCAGTCTTCTCACTGACTGCCTCCAGAGTGTAACTGTGACTTAATCCATTGATGTGGATGTACTGTACAGTATGACTCATTTATGACCCTGTCTATCTTCTCTAGGCACTGGCTCCAGCATCCTCTCGTCCCTGCAGGACCTGCCCTCCCTTCCATGGCCTGCCCTTCGATCCAAGATGGAGAAACACCTTCAGGTCATCGCAGTTCTGCAGTGGATCATCTCCTTCCTTGCCATGGGTGAGCGTGCGACTGGATCTCCGTGTGGCTCTAACTATACTGAACAAAAATATAAACGCAATATGTAAATTGTTGGTCTCATGTTTCATGAGCTGAAATAAAAGATCCCAGAAATGTTCAATACTCACAAAAGCTTATTTCTCTCAAATGTTGTGCACAAATGTGTTTATATCCCTGTTAGTGAGCATTTCTCCTTTGCCAAGATAATCCATCCACCTGACAGGTGTGGCATATCAAGAAGCTGATTAAACAGCATGATCAATACACAGGTGCACCTTGTGCTGGGGAAAATAAAAGGCCACTATAAAATGTGCAGTTTTGTCACACAACACAATGCCACAGATGTCCCAAGTTTTGAAGGAGCGTGCAATTGGCATGCTGACTGCAGGAATGTCCACCAGAGCTGTTGTCAGATAATTGAATGTTAATTTCTCTCCATAAGCCGCCTCCAATGTCGTTGTAGAGAATTTGGCAGTACGTCCAACCGGTCTCACAACCGCAGACCACGTGTAACCACGCCAGCCCAGGACCTCCACATCCGGCTTCTTCACCTGTGGGAATGTCTGAGACAAGCCACCAGGACAGCTGATGAAACTGTGGGTTTGCACAACCAAAGGATTTCTGCACAAACTGTCAGAAACCGTTTCAGGGAAGCTCATCTGCGAGCTCGTCGTCCTCACCAGGGTCTTGACCTGACTGCAGTTCAGCGTCGTAACCGACATCAGTGGGCAAATGCTCACCTTCAATGGCTACTGGCATGCTGGAGAAGTGTGCTCTTCACGGCTAAATCCCAGTTTCAACTGTACCGGGCAGATGGCAGACAGCATGTATGGCGTCAAGTGGGCGAGCGATTTGCTAATGTCAATGTTGTGAACAGAGTGCCCCTTGGTAGGGTTATGGTATGAGCAGGCATAAGCTATGGACAACGAACACAATAGCATTTTATCGATGGCAATTTGAAGGCACAGAGATACCGTGACGAGATCTTGAGACCCATTGTCGTGCAATTCATCCGCTTCCATCACCTCATGTTTCAGCATGATCATGTAAGGCCCCATGTCGCAAGGATCTGTACACAATTCCTGGAAGCTGAAAATGTCCCATTGAGCACGTTTGAGATGCTCTGAATCGACTTGTACGACAGCGTGTTCCAATACCCGCCAATATCCAGAAACCTTGCACAATCATTGAAGAAGAGTGGGACAGCATTCCACTGGCCACAATCAAGAGCCTGATCAACTCTATGCGAAGGAGATCTGTTGCACTGCATGAGGCAAATGGCGTTCACATCAGATACTGACTGGTTTTCTGATCCACGCTTGTACTTAAAAAAAAAAAAAGAAAGTTATCTGTAACCAACAGATGCATATCTGTATTCCCAGTCATGTGAAATCCATAGATTAGGGCCCCGTGTAGCTCAGTTGGTAGAGCATGGCGCTTGCAACGCCAGGGTTGTGGGTCTGATTCCCACGGGGGGCCAGTATGAAAATGTATGCACTCACTAACTGTAAGTCGCTCTGGATAAGAGCGTCTGCTAAATGACTAAAAGGTAAATGTAAAAAAATTAGGGCCTAATTTTATTTATTTCTATTGACTGATTTTCCTTATGAACTCTTGAAATTGTTGCATTTTATATTTTTGTTCAGTATAGTAGTTACTGAAGGATATAGCGGCCCTGTGGCCTCATACTGTAAGTCTCCCACAAGGAGATCAAGCCTGTAAGCTCTCTCTCTTATTTACTAGAGATATTATCTGAGAATAGATGGTGGGCTGTAGGGATGTTTCTGTTAGTCTACAGTCGTGGTCAAAAGTTTTGAGGATGACACAAGTATTGGTCTTCACAAAGTTTACTGCTTCAGTGTTTTTAGATATTTTTGTCAGATGTTACTATGGTATACTGAAGTATAATTACAAGCATTCCATAAGTGTCAAAGGCTTTTATTGACAATTGCATTAAGTTTATGCAAAGAGTCAATATTTGCAGTGTTGACCCTTCTTTTTCAAGACCTCTTCAATCCGCCCTGGCATGCTGTCAATTAACTTCTGGGCCACATCCTGACTGATGGCAGCCCATTCTTGCATAATCAATGCTTTGGAGTTTGTCAGAATTTGTGGATTTCTGTTTGTCCACCCGCCTCTTGAGGATTGACCACAAGTTCTCAATGGGATTAAGGTCTGGGGAGTTTCCTGGCCATGGACCCAAAATGTCGATGTTTTGTTCCCCGAGCCACTTAGTTATCACGTTTGCCTTATGGCAAGGTGCTCCATCGTGCTGGAAAAGGCATTGTTCGTCACCTAACTGTTCTTGGATGGTTGGGAGAAGTTGCTCTCGGAGGATGTGTTGGTACCATTCTTTATTCATGGCTGTGTTCTGAGCAACTCCACACATGAATGGTCTCAGGATGCTTTACTGTTGGCATGACACAGGACTGATGGTAGCGCTCACCTTGTCTTCTCCGGACAAGATTTTTTCCGGATGCCCCAAACAATCGGAAAGGGGATTCATCAGAGAAAATGACTTTACCCCAGTCCTCAGCAGTCCAATCCCTGTACCTTTTGCAGAATATCAGTCTGTCCCTGATGTTTTTCCTGGAGAGAAGTGGCTTCCTTTCTTCCCTTCTTGACACCAGGCCATCCTCCAAAAGTATTTGCCTCACTGTGCATGCAGATGCACTCACACCTGCCTGCTGACATTCCTGAGCAAGCTCTGCACTGGTGGTGCCCCGATCCTGCAGCTGAATCAACTTTAGGAGATTTGGGCGCCCTGAAGCCTTCTTCACAACAATTGAACCTCTCTCCTTGAAGTTCTTGATGATCCGATAAATGGTTGATTTAGGTGCAATCTTACTAGCAGCAATATCCTTGCCTGTGAAGCCCTTCTTGTGCAAAGCAATGATGACTGCATGTGTTTCCTTGCAGGTAACCATGGTTAACAGAGGAAGAACAATGATTTCAAGCACCACCCTCCTTTTAAAGCTTCCTGTCTGTTATTCTAACTCAATCAGCATGACAGAGTGATCTCCAGCCTTGTCCTCGTCAACACTCTCACCTGTGTTAACGAGAGAATCACTGACATGATGGCAGCTGGTCCTTTTGTGGCAGGGCTGAAATGCAGTGGAAATGTTTTTGGGGGATTAAGTTCATTTTCATGGCAAAGAGGGACTTTGCAATGAATTGCAATTCATCTGATCACTCTTCATAACATTCTGGAGTATATGCAAATTGCCATCATAAAAACTGAGGCAGCAGACTTTGTGAAAATTAATATTTGTGTCATTCTCAAAACTTTTGACCACGACTGTATATGTTTCAGATTGCAGTATAAATGTCTGATGTTCATGTGGAGATAAGGGATAAGGAGTATTTTGCACTTGAAAAATAAATATTTAATGAAGTGTGGTACCTGCACTATGCCTGTTCCTCTGCTCTCTCCCCTATTCTATCCTACCCCATAGGCATCAGCTGCACTGTGCTGTTAATCTACATGTTCTGCACAGACCTCTGGGTGATCGCTGCCATGTACACTGCCTGGCTAATCTTTGACTGGAACACCCCCAAACAAGGCAAGTACCACGGTCACTCAAACCCACTCTTAATACTGGTCAGATTGAGAGGGTTTTTCCCTGTCAGCCCTGGGATTCGAATTTGCAACCTTTTGGTGACTGGCTTAATCTCATGGCTGCCGCTGCCCTATTGTGGTTAAATTGTGTCATTTCAGATGCAGTGGTTTGTGTCTGTGACCATAGGGAGCTGTGCTGGTTAATTGGCACTATGTTACTGTTGATTTATATGTTTCAGCATGTGGGTTACATGATTCATTATTCTGACTGGAGATCTATCTTTACCTCGGTTTTCTCAGGTGGCAGGAGGTCCTCTTGGGTGAGGAACTGGACTGTGTGGACTTACTTCAGAGATTACTTTCCCATCAGGGTGAGTGGAAAAGAATAGGCCTAACATTTTAAAGGTATGCTGTAGTGTGTGTGTGAACTTACGTGTGTGTGCAATGTGTGTTGGGGTGTGATTTGGGGATGGGCCATTCAGTGCTATGAAGCATCCTGACCTTGACCTCCTATAGTGGAGGATGTATAAACAAATAAAAGTGGGATGGTGGTCACTTGTCAGTGTGTTTGCGGTGTCATGAGACCAGATAATTAAGATAGCTATCAACCTGGAAATTTGTGATGGAATACAACATGGATATGCCTGCCTGTACAGATGATAAAATGTGCTTTTTCTGGTCAGATACAAAGTTAAAGAGCAACAATATTTTTATTGATTATGGTGTCTGATGTATCCCAGTAGCACAGGCATGAAGATAACCTTATCTGTGACTGTATCAGCTGGTGGTTCCTGTTCCCTGATGATGATGCTATAAGGAGTTGACGTTGGTTGAAAGGATAGACTTTGCCCTGCCTGATAGGAGACAGGTCATCGCTGAGCTTTTTTTCCATTTTTATTATTTTGCTCCTCTGCACCTGGAGATTGTTGGGAGACACGTTCTCTTGGTGTCCTAACAGAGCAAGCCATTTTTTGCCTTCAGATTTTTTGGCATGTTCCTCTTGTGCTTTCTCTCACTGCCCTCCTGACCAATAATTGAATTAGCTGAGTTGTTTGTATGCCTTCACACTCCTCATGAATATCAATGAACCAACGACATTCAAATTACATCTGCTATGTTTAATCGTCCAAGGAGTTCAATCAGTTCAGCTATTTGATTTAACAGTTTTTAAATGGAGCATTCTAGAAACATTAACCGTACAATAAATGTTTTACAATCTTTTTCACTCATACATAGAAAGTATAGCCAAAGGCTCTTAAAGCAAAGCCAGAGCTTTGATACGGTCACCTATTAAGAATCAAGGTGAAAGGTCATCTTAACTGTCAATAATTGAGTCATGATGATGATTAACAGCCAGGGGGAAATCAAATGTGTGTGTGTGTGTTGCCTCTGGAGCTTGAACTTTGGCCCTGCTTGTGATCCATACTTTGAGCACTGACTGTTTCTGTCTGAGTGGCTTGATGAGATCACTTATTTGCGTAAAGTAGCTCTGATGCAGACTGAATAAGATGGATGTGTTTGATGATAACATGTTTATCTGAAAACATGTCTCTGCATCGATTAGAGACTTACAGTACAGTAATCCTTTGGGTTGGTACCCAGGATGATGTTTAATGCTGGTTGTGATGTGGAGTTAAGGGGCTTTGATTGTAGGGTTTTCTGACTCAAGTACATACTGTGTGCCAGGTATTGGTAGGGCTCGAGATACATTAGATACTTCACCTGTCAACATCCTGTTTCAGATGAATGGTTGCTTACCTTGTTCTACATTTACATTTTAGTCATTTAGCAGAAGCTCTTATCCAGAGCGACTTACATGAGCAATTAGGGTTAAGTGCCTTGCTTAAGGGCACATCGACAGATTTTTCACCTAGTCAGCTTGGGGATTAGAACCAGTGACCTTTCTAGCTTGTGCAACTAATGGAGTTGGATGCAAGCTGGTAGTAAGGCCTGGCTGGTGGCAGCCTGAGTGTGTCAGTGCATGCAGGGACGGTGACTTACATCTTGCAGTGCCAGCAAGGTCTCCTTTTCTCTTCCACTTACTGTATGTATGTTATCAAACACAGCGGCAGCCGCTGATTGGCTGAATACCCAGGGTGCAAGGTGGTTGAAGTTGTCAACAAAGCAGCATGACAGAAATATGATGGCAAGTTTTCGAACTACCAATAGTTTCTTTTATATATTTTCTCAAAGCGATTTGTGCATTTGAACAACAGCATAAATCCACCTATTTCACTTTTGCATGTCAAAAACCGAATAACCACTGCTGCACATGCTGCCACTGTTTTGAACAGACTAGATTATACTATTTAGAATGATTAGCCAGCTCACGAAAGAATGAGTGCCCCAGGATAGGTAGCTAACATAATGTGACAAAGCATGATGCGCTAGCCAGTTAACTTCCATTCTGAAATAACTTAATATTTCCGAGTTAGTCAGATATTAGTTTAGAAAGACTTGAAATTGGCATTGGCGCTAAATAGCTAGCAAGCTACCTGCTAGCTAGCTGCTTATCAAAGGTACACTACATGACCAAAAGTATGTGGACACCTGCTCGTCGAGCATCTCATTCCAAAATCATGGGCATTAATATGGAGTTGGCCCCCCTTCTGCTGCTATAACAGCCTCCACTCTTCCGGGAAGCCTTTCCACTAGATGCATGAACATTGCTGCAGGGACTTGCTTCCACTCAGCCACGAGCATTAGTGAGGTCGGGCACTGATGTTGGGCGATTAGGCTCGCAGTCTGCGTTTCAATTCATCCCAAAGGCATTTGATGAGGTTGATGTCAGGGCTCTGTGCAGGCCAGTCAAGTTCTTCCACACTGATCTTGACAAACCATTTCTGTATGGACCTCTCTTTGTGCACGGGGGCATTGCCCTTTCCTGTTTCATACTGAAACAGGAAAGGGCCATCCCCAAACTGTTGCCACAAATTTGGAAGCACAGAATCATCTAGAATGTCATTGTATGCTGTAGCGTTAAGATTTCCCTTCACTGGAATTAAGGGGACTAGCCCGAACCATGAAAAACAGCCCCAGACCATTATTCCTCCTCCACCAAACTTTACAGTTGACACTATGCATTGGGGCAGGTAGCGTTCTCCTGGCATCCGCCAAACCCAGATTTGTCCGTCGGACTGCCAGATGGTGAAGCGTGATTCATCACTCCAGAGAATGCGTTTCCTCTGCTCCAGAGTCCAATGGCGGCGAGCTTTACACCACTCCAGCTGACGCTTGGCATTGCACATGGTGAGCTTAGGCTTGTGTGCGGCTGCTCGGCCATGGAAACCCATTTAATTTCATGAAGCTCCCGGCGAACAGTTATTGTGCTGACGTTGCTTCCAGAGGCAGTTTGGAACTCGGTAGTGAGTGTTGCAACCGAGGACAGACGATTTTTACACGCTTCAGCACTTGGCGGTCCCGTTCTGTGAGCTTGTGTGGCCTACCACTTCGTGGCTTAGCCGTTGTTTGTCTATAGAGATTGCATGGCTGTGTGCTTGATTTTTATACACCTATTAGCAACGGGTGTGTCTGAAATGGCCGAATCCACTAATTTTGAAGGGGTGTCCACATACTTTTGTGTGTATATATAGTGTAGATGGCTAACTGGTTAATTTGACCAAAAGATCGACCAAGCTATTTCTCAATGTTTCTGTAGCTGGCTAATTCATTTGATCATGCTTTGTGATACACCTGGTGTTATGCTGTTTTTTAGACCACAAAACATGGGCCCTTGTACCTGCAGTAGAACCTTATAAACAACATCAGGGGGAAACAATGAAATTGGCCATGCTTTTTGTCCTACCAGATCCGCAATGATAAGGTTCGAGCTAGTGTATCCCTCTGTCCTTCGACTCTTGTTGAATGGAGTTGTCCGGTTGATCAGGTCCCAGACTCCCATGATTGTTATGATTATTTATTTACAAGTTAATTACAATTTGCTTTTTGCTTTAGCGCAATCTGTACCTGATAGAGTAGTCTCACGTGCGGAAGTAAGCCGTCTGGCGCGAGAGACTCATTGGGAGGAGGAGACTAGAGCAGACCCAGAAGTTCTGACTGAACGGACGCACATTTGAGTGCCCCAGGAAGGTCCATTTACTTTGTGCTGTTATAATTTACGCTATGAAATCCTACGATTTCATTGGGGCAGTTCCCCCTCATAGCAAATGGCTGGCAAAACAATCAAAGCAATGTTTGCATGACCTATGCGCCCACTGAGGCAGAGCTGGCAGTCACTGAGGGGCAGTGTTAAGTAACTGAACAGCTTGTTTTAAAGAATATATTTTCTTAAACATAAAAATGTACACATTTACCACTTTTTCTGAGAATTTAAAACATAATCCATTAATTATATAATGTTTTAAATGAAATAAAATCAATTGGGGGGGGGGGGGGGACCAATCACAAGTGGTGCGCTGCCCCTAACGCCCTTAAAGGCGAGCCGCTGCTGGTCAAACACCACCTGTTTTCTCTTTACATCTGCCATGCCATCACTGTAGAAACCTCACAGTAGATGGTCTTTTGATAATCTGTTAAAGTGCTTTGCAATTGTCCTTGTTTGACAAGTCCTGTGTACACAGCTCTTTGGATCTGTGCGATACCCTATGTGCGCTTTCAATTCCTTCCATAAGAGTGGCATGGGCCACACACTTAACTGAAGACACAATTCGTCTCCTTCTCATACTCCAACATACTTTTAAGAGTATTGCATCTCTGTAATGGAACTGCTGTTCACACTAGAGGAAACGTGCAGATAAACATCCCAGACACAAAGCACATTTTATTGCCTTATTTGCCTGAAATTATTTTATTACTTGGAGTGCAAAAGATGGGTCATATCAGGGCTAAAATGATAAGCCGTTCCAATTTCTGGAAAATATGCCAATATAGATGTCTTAACACATCCTCTAAACCTCCTCTCCTCTGAGACTGGTGTGATAGTACAGTCTAATCAGTAGTTTAATCAGGTCTCTTTTGTCATCTTTTTTTCCAGCTCATCAAGACACATAACCTGCTGCCCAGCCGAAACTACATCTTTGGGTACCACCCCCATGGGATCTTCTCTTTCGGAGCCTTCTGTAACTTCGGGACTGAGGCCACTGGATTCTCCAAGAAGTTCCCAGGCATCAAGCCTTCTCTTGCCACCCTGGCTGGAAACTTCCGGATGCCAGTCCTTAGAGACTATCTCATGTCTGGGGGTGAGATGGTTTCTGGGAGTTTTGTCCCTCTGAAGAGGCCACCTCCTCCTCCTCTCTGTAAACTGCTGATAACAGCACTGTATCTATAGACTGAAATTTGGTAGAACTCTGAGCTTTGTCCTATTGCGCAGCCAGGACGAAACAGCCAGCCTCTGTCTACCAACCTGTATTTGCTGATCTCGCTATTGTAGGGAGCTGCTTCTGTCAACCTGCATTGTTAGCTTATTTATCTTAATTTCAAAGGTTTCATTTGGTCATTTAGAGTAGTATTGAAGTGTAATGTAAAACTTCCAGCAAGAATATATGTCTGTGCTCAACCAGTATGCATTTTCTCTTAAAATAATGTCCACTGAAAACAGACTTTATGGTTTGGTCTTTGGGCCCATGTGTGATTGCTGAGCCTAACCCCATTTTCTCCCATGTGTCAGGTATCTGCCCAGTGAACCGTAACTCCATCGACTACCTCCTCTCTCAGAATGGAACTGGCAACGCAGTGGTCATCGTTGTCGGGGGAGCAGCGGAATCTCTGGACTGTGCTCCAGGCATTAATTCTGTCACCCTGAATAACCGCAAGGGCTTTGTGAGGCTGGCCCTCCAGCAAGGGTGAGAGTAGAGCACAAACATTCCGCCATACACAAATCCTGGCCACACACAAATCCTGGCCACACACATACACTACATGAGCAATAGTATGTGGACACCTGCTCATCGAACATCTCATTCCAAAATCATGGGCATTAATATGGAGTTGGTCCCTCCTTTTGCTGCTATAACAGCCTCTACTCTTCTGGGAAGGCTTTCCACTAGATGTTGGAACATTGCTGCAGGGACTTGCTTCCATTCAGCCACGAGCATTAGTGAGGTCGGGCACTGATGTTGGTCGATTAGGCCTGGCTCGCAGTCAGCGTTCCAATTCATCCCAAATGTATTTGATGGGTTGAGGTCAGGGCTCTGTGCAGGCCAATCAAGTTCTTCCACACTGATCTCGACAAACCATTTCTGTATGGACCTCGCTTTGTGCACGGGGGCATTGTCATGCTGAAATAGGAAAGGGCCTTCCCCAAACTGTTGCCACAACATTGGAAGCACAGAATCGTCTAGAATGTCATTGTATGCTGTAGCGTTAAGATTTCCCCTCACTGGAACTAACGGGCCTAGCCCGACCCATACAAAAACAGCCCCAGACCATTATTCCTCCTCCACCAAACTTTACAGTTGGCACTATGCATTGGGGCAGGTAGCGTTCTCCTGAGATCCGCCAAACCCAGATTCGTCCGTTGGACTGCTAGATGGTGAAGCGTGATTCATCACTCCAGAGAACGCGTTTCCACTGCTCCAGAGTCCAATGGCGGCGAGCTTTACACCACATCAGCTGATGCTTGGCATTGTGCATGGTGATCTTAGGCTTGTGTGCGGCTTCTTGGCCATGGAAACCCATTTCATGAAGCTCCCGACTAACAGTTATTGTGCTGACGTTGCTTCCAAAGGCAGTTTGGAACTCGGTAGTGAGTGTTGCAACTGAGGACCGACGATTTTTACACGCTACGCGCTTCAGCACTCGGTGGTCCCGTTCTGTGAGCTTGTGTGGCCTACCACTTCGCGGCTGAGCCGTTGTTGCACCTAGACGTTTCCACTTCACAATAACAGCACTTACAGTTGAGTGGGGCAGCTCTAACAGGGCAGAAATTTGACGAACTGACTTGTTGGAAAGGTGGCATCCTATGACGGTGCCACGTTGAAAGTCACTGAGCTCTTCAGTAAGGCCATTCTACTGCCAATGGCTGTGTGCCCAATATTTTACACCTGTCAGCAACTGGTGTGTCTGAACGCGCCGAATCCACTCATTTGAAGGGGTGTCCACATACTTTTTTGTATATAGTGTACCTCTAGGTTACACACATCTACTGATCAGACTACATGGAGTTTGTTTTGATGTAAGACACCTCATCGGGCCATCACAGACACGGGTGTCATTATGACCAATTGGATTGAATCGAGAGAATTGGCTCAACAATAGGTTTGATTGGCACCAGGGTTGGGGTTAATTCTAAAAATTATATTCAAATTCATTTTCCCCTCCCTGGAAATGTAATTTAAATTCCAGGTCAGTCTTTGAATTCAGAGATAATTAATTTCTTCTCAATTCCAATGTTAGGTCAATTCCAAGGATTAAATTCAAATGTTAGGTCAATTCCACAAATTCCAATTCCCTCAGGCTTTCAGGCTGGTCATGTCAATGTTCAGACAGCCTAGCTATACTGGAAATATAGAAATACAAATGATTTAAATTGCAGTCAATTTGTGATACTAACTGCATTAATTCCATTAACTGGGAAATGTACAAATATTGAATTCTAATTCAATTCCAATTCAAAGTCCAGACGGTCTAATTCCATAACTTGAAGATTGTTGAAATTTTGAGTGAATTGAATTGGAATTTCAAATTCAATTGGAATTGACCACAAGCCTGATTGGCACAAAAAACACTTTCACGTGTGGTAATTGGTCCTCAATTGCTCAGAGCTCCTCCTGGCATACAGTATACACACACCCGGGTCAAGGCCAAAGGAAAGGCTCCATCAGATTGTGACTCAGAACAACCTGAGAACACTGTTTGGGCACACTGGGTGAGCAGGCGTAGGTGAGCTGGCATAGACCAGATCTGACTAACTGGGAATCGCACTCTACTCCAGACCTATTAGGCTGCCATTTTGACTTGCTCAACTTACCCAAACAAGCCTACTTCAGTAATAAATACTGTCTGATGGTGGATTATAGATACACTGGTTCAAAGCGCCTTAGAGGTTGTATAAAATGTAATGTTATGTAGAGGAGAACCTCATTCATAACAACCTTGGATAACATGCGTGATTGGAAATTTCCCCAGGCATATACAGTACGTATTTGGGTCACTGGCTCTTATTTTTAGGACCTCTAAGACGAGTGGCATGTAGGCCTATGTTACACTGGCTAAATACTTCCCAAAGGTTCCTTTCTAAATTCCTCATAATGAGTTTTCATGACAAATGTTGCAATAATAAGAGCAAGGAAGCACCAAAACAAGTCAAGAACATGGTTTAGTAGCTCATCATTCAGAGATCGGATGATATCCGTCATGCCCTATGAGTAACTTCAAGAGACTAATGTAAACCGTTGCTCTCTGTCAGGTCTGACCTGGTGCCGGTCTACTCCTTTGGGGAGAACAATGTGTACAAGCAGGTGATCTTTGAGGAGGGAACCTGGTGTCGGCTGGCTCAGAAGCGGCTGCAGAAGATTCTGGGCTTTGCTCCCTGTCTGTTCCATGGCTGTGGCCTCTTCTCCGATTCCTGGGGAATGGTGCCTTACAATAAACCCATCACCACCATCGGTGAGAAACCCTCTCCAAGACCCAAATGATAAAGTCTCTCACAGGCATTTAGTGCTGGTTGACTTAGTTTCTGGTAGGGATCCTTGACTTTTTCCACATTTTGTTACGTTACAGCCTTATTCTAAAATTGATTCAATACATTTTTTTCCTCATCAATCTACACACAAACCCCATAATGACAAAGTGAAAACAGGATTTTATAAATGTTTGCAATGTATTTAAAATGTAAATACCTTACTTACATAAGTATTCAGACCCTTTGCTATAAGACTCGAAATTGAGCTCAGGTGCATCCTGTTTCCATTGATCATCCTTGAGATATTTCTACAACTTCCACCTGTGGTAAATTCAATTGATTGGACATGATTTGGGGCGGCAGGTAGCTTAGTGGTTAAGAGCGTTGTGCCAGTAACTGAAAGGTCGCTGGTTCTAATCCCCGAGCCGACTAGGTGAAAAATCTGTCAATGTGCCCTTGAGCAAGGCACTTAACCCTAAGTCGCTCTGGATAAGAGCGTCTGCTAAATGTAAATGTAATGATTTGGAAAGGCACATTCCTGTCTCTATAAGGTCCCACAGGAGACAGTGCATGTCAGAGCAAAAACCAAGCCATGTGGTTGAAGGAATTGTCCGTAGCGCTCCCAAACAGGATTGTGTCGAGACACAGATCTGGGGAAGAGTACCAAAACATTTCTGCAGCATTGAAGTATGGAACCACCAAGACTCTTCCTAGAGCTGGCCGTCCGGCCAAACTGAGCAATCGGGGGAGAAGGGCCTTGGTCAGGGAGGTGACCAAGAACCCAATGGTCGCTCTGACAGAGCTCCAGAGTTCCTCTGTGGAGATGGGAGAACATTCCAGAAGGACAACCATCTCTGCAGCACTCCACCAATCAGGCCTTTATGGTAGAGTGGCCAGACGGAAGCCACTCCTCAGTAAAAGGCACATGACAGCCTGCTTGGAGTTTGCCAAAAGGCACCTAAAGGACTCTGACCATGAGAAACAAGATTCTCTGGCCTGAATGCCAAGCGTCACATCTGGAGGAAACCTGGCACCATCCCTACGGTGAAGCATGGTGGTGGCAGCATCATGCTGTGGGGATGTTTTTCAGCGGCAGGGACTGGGAGACTAGTCAGGATCGAGTGAAAGATGAATGGAGCAAAGTACAGAGAGATCATTGATGAATACCTGCCCAGGACCTCAGACTGGGGCGAAGGTTCACCTTCCAACAGGACAATGACCCTAAGCACACAGCCAAGACAACGCAGGAGTGGCTTCGGGACAAGTCTCTGAATGTCCTTGAGTGGCCCAGCCAGAGTCTAGACTTGAACCCGATCAAACATCTCTGGAGAGACCCGAAAATAGCTGTGCAGCGACGCTTCCCATCCAACCTGACGGAGCTTGAGAGGATCTGCAGACAATAATGGGAGTGGGAGTGCGCGCTCAGCCCCCTCCTGTACTCCCTGTTCACCCATGACTGCGTGGCCAAGCACGCCTCCAACTCAATCATCAAGTTTGCAGACAACACAACAGTAGTAGGCTTGATTACCAACAATGACGAGACAGCCTACAGGGAGGTGAGGGCTCTGGGAGTGTGGTGCCAGGAAAATAACCTCTCACTCAACGTCAACAAAACAAAGGAGATGATCGTCGACTTCAGGAAACCACAGAGGGTGCACCCCCCTATCCACATCGACGGGACCGCAGTGGAGAAGGTGGAAAGCTTCAGGTTCCTTGGCGTACACATCACTGACAAACTGAAATGTTCCTCCCATGCAGACAGTGTGGTGAAGAAGGCACAACAGAGCCTTTTCAACCTTAGGAGGTTCAAGAAATTTGGCTTGGCACCTAAAACCCTCACAAACTTTTACAGATGCACAATTGAGAGCATCCTGTCGGGCTGTATCACCGCCTGGTACGGCAACTGCACCATCCGCAACCGCAGGGCTCTCCAGAGGGTGGTGCGGTCTGCCGAACGCATTACCGGGGGCAAACTACCCACACTCCAGGACACCTACAGCACCCGATGTCACAGGAAGGCCAAAAAGATCATCAAGGACATCAACCACCCGAGCCACTGCCTGTTCACCCTGCTATCATCCAGAAGGCGAGGTCAGTACAGGTGCATCAAAGCTGGGACCGATAGAAGCTGTTTTTCATTCTATCTCAAGGCCATCAGACTGTTAAATAGCCATCACTCGGACATTAGAGGCTGCTGCTGCCTATAGAAATGACTGGCCATTTTAAGAAATGGAACACTAGTCACTTTAATAATGTTTACATATCTTGCATTACTCATCTCATATGTATATACTGTATTCTATAATATTCTACTGTATCTTAGTCCATGCCGCTCTGTCATTGCTTGTCCATATACAGTTGAAGTCGGAAGTTTACATACACTTAGGTTGGAGTCATTAACTTGTTTTTCAACCACTCCACAAATTTCTCGTTAACAAACTATAGTTTTGGCAAGTCGGTTAGGACATCTACTTTGTGCATGACACAAGTAATTTTTCCAACAATTGTTCACAGACAGATTATTTCACTTATAATTCACTGTATCACAATTCCAGTGGGTCAGAAGTTTACATACACTAAGTTGACGGTGCCTTTAAACAGCTTGGAAAACTCCAGGAAATGATGTCATGGCTTTAGAAGCTTCTGATAGGCTAATTGACATCATTTGAGTCAATTGGAGGTGTACCTGTGGATGTATTTCAAGGCCTACCTTCAAACTCAGTGCCTCTTTGCTTGACATCATGGGAAAATCAAAAGAAATCAGCCAAGACCTCAGATAAAAAATTGTAGACCTCCATAAGTCTGGTTCATCCTTGGGAGCAATTTCCAAACACCTTAAGGTACCACGTTCATCTGTACAAACAATAGTACGCAAGTATAAACACCATGGGACCACGCAGCCGTCATACCGCTCAGGAAGGAGACGCGTTCTGTCTCCTCGAGATGAACGCACTTTGGTGCGAAAAGTGCAAATCAATCCCAGAACAACAGCAAAGGACCTTGTGAAGATGCTGGAGGAAATGGGTACCAAAGTATCTATATCCACAGTAAAACGAGTCCTATATCGACATAACCTGAAAGGCCGCTCAGCAAGGAAGAAGCCACTGCTCCAGAACCGCCATAAAAAAGCCAGACTACGGTTTGCAACTGCACATGGGGACAAAGATCGTACTTTTTGGAGAAATGTCCTCTGGTCTGATGAAACAAAAATTAGAACTGTTTGGCCATAATGACCATCGTTATGTTTGGAGGAAAAAGGGGTATGCTTGCAAGCCGAAGAACACCATCCCAACTGTGAAGAACGGGGGTGGCAGCATCATGCTGTGGGGGTGCTTTGCTGCAGGAGGGACTGGTGCACTTCACAAAATAGATGGCATCATGAGGAAGGAAAATTATGTGGATATATATTGAAGCAACTTCTCAAGACATCAGTCAGGAAGTTAAAGCTTGGTCGCAAATGGGTCTTCCAAATGGACAATGACCCCAAGCATACTTCCAAAGTTGTGGCAAAATGGCTTAAGGACAACAAAGTCAAGGTATTGGAGTGGCCATCACAAAGCCCTGACCTCAATCCTATAGAAAATGTGTGGGCAGAGCTGAAAAAGTGTGTGCGAGCAAGGAGGCCTACAAACCTGTCTCAGTTACACCAGCTCTGTCAGGAGGAATGGGCCAAAATTCACCCAACTTATTGTGGGAAGCTTGTGGAAGGCTACCCAAAACGTTTGACCCAAGTTAAACAATTTAAAGGCAATGCTACCAAATACTAATTGAGTGTATGTAAACTTCTGACCCACTGGGAATGTGATGAAAGAAATAAAAGCTGAAATAAATAATTCTCTCTACTATTATTCTGAAATTTCACATTCTTAAAATAATGTGGTGATCCTAACTGACCTAAAACAGGGAATTTTTATTAGGATGAAATGTCAGGAATTGTGAAAAACTGAGTTTAAATGTATTTGGCTAAGGTGTATGTAAACTTCCGACTTCAACGGTATGTATATATTCTTAATTACATTCCTTACTTAGATTTGTGTGTATTGGGTATACGTTGTGAAATTGTTAGATATTACTGCACTGTCGGAGCTAGAAGCACAAGCATTTCGCTACACCCGCAGTAAGATCTGCTAAACATGTGTATGTGACAAATAAAATTTGATTTGATTTAAGAAACTCCCCAAATACAGGTGTGCCATGATTGTGCCGTCATGCTCGAGGCTGTAATCGCTGCCAAAGATGCTTCAGCTAAGTACTGAGTAAAGGGTCTGAATACTTATGTAAATGTCATATTTCAGTTTTAAATGTTTTATACATTTGCAAAAATTTCTAAAATCCTGTTTTTGCTCTGTCATTGTGGGGTATTGTGTATAGATTTGAGGAAAAAAAACATGATTTAATCAATTTTAGAGTAAGGCTGTAACGTAACAAAGTGGAAAAAGTCAAGGGGTCTGAATACACTGTATATATCACAGGAGGTTGGTGGCACCTTAATTGGGGGGGACGGGCTCATGGTAATGGCTGGAGCAGAATAAGTAGAATGGTATTAACTTCATCAAACACAGGGTTTCCATGTGTTTGATGCCATTCCATTTGCTCTGTTCCGGCCATTATTATGAGCCGTCCTCCCCTCAGCAGCCTCCTGTGATATTTCTCTCTCTCTCGCTGTCTCGCTCTCCCCCTCTCTCTCTCGTCCTGTCCTGTCCTCAAAGTATATGTTCAACTCAAAAAATTGTTCTGTCAGCCAGGATCTGTAGATTATTGTCCATCTGTTAAAATCTAGTAATTGCAATGCTAGGTCGGGTTATTGTTACTACTAAGCAGTTCAAGGGCAGCTCTAGCTCCTCTGTATTAACAGAACCATCCACACAGTCAACATTTTCTCTCCCCTGCATCAAGGCCATGTTCATGTTTAACGTTGCAGCTCATCAAACCAAAAAGTTAAATGTCTGTTGAAGTTGATTTTGCGGATATTGATTTTTACCCCCTTCTCTTAGTGGGTGAACCGATCACGGTGCCAAAGGTTGAGGAGCCTACTAAGGATATGGTGGAACTGTACCATGCCATGTACATCAAGTCCCTCAGGAGCCTCTTTGACAAGTATAAGACCCGCTTCGGATTGAAGGAGAGTGACATCCTGCACATCCAATGAGAAAAGAGTGCGCGGGACCTCTCGGAACCTTAGAACAGTGGCAGCTGTTTGGCAGCCCTGCCCCCTCCATTCACGTGCATGGCTCTGATTGATTGTCTCTGAAATTCAATCGATATACATAAAATTGTGGGTGTGTGTATATAAACCCACAGCGCTCTCATCCTCTTCCTGTGCACAAGGCTCACGTCCCTACTCCACTCAGGGAGGAAAATGGCAGGTTGCCAGGTTGGCCCTGACCTAGTCAATGCCAATGGCAAAGTTGACTAACTTAAATGTCTCCAAATGGAGTCTCTTCAGCTTATGCCACATCTATAGAAATGTTCCATGACAGAAGAGATGAGGGATTATAGTTTGAAAAGGTACGATCACTTGCTTTCATGTGCAGTGGAACGCCCACGAGGTGGCACTAGAAGGTTATACACACAACAAGCACCATGTTTGTTTCTCCCAATCATCTATGTAGTTGTCCCTTTATATTAGGCCCTAAAAAAATGATGATGTTTTGAGGCCTTTATTTAATTTTGCTAAATGCACAAACAATGCAATTGTAATGGTATGGCCTCACTCAGAAGTCAGTGGTTCATTGAGCCAAACTTGTAGTTAATTGAGCCAAACTTGTGGTTAATTGAGCCAAAGAGGTGATGTGTCCCCTCCCAACACACGCATACTTCATTGAAACTTGAAGGTGAAGTAATTCTATTGAATGGATTTAGATTGTGTACATGTGATTCTATGATGCCACTAAGTATTATATTATGTAAATAAGAAAAAGCCTTTCCTCCCTTGTGGAAAGGAATCAATGTTTTGTTTTTTCTCAATTAAAATTAATATATTGATGCACTTTTTGTATTTGTGACAACCCTCTGAGGTGTTTCTCTAAAATGTGCCTTAGGAATCTTTCAATGTAAAATTCATTTTTTTCAACAACATTGCCAATTTTGTTTCCACTTACATTTTTTCCATATATTGAGTGTATTGACTCGTTTGTAGAGAGTGTTGTCTAGTGCCTTGAGGCCCCAGGTACTGTAGTTGTTGATGATGTAAGAACAATTTCAGGGTGAAGAACAATTCTTCCTCCACACAGAGAGCAGATCAGTGATAAATGAAAAAGGGATTGTAAAGCCTGTGCCTTGTAAAAAATAAAATACACTTTTTGTGGGGTACCATTCAATTGAAAAAATTGGCAAATGTATAAGGGTTTTTCTATCACACATTTGAGTATAAAAGTCAAACTCCCCTTGTAATTACCAAGAAGTGTTTGAGAAATGATTTGTCATATTGGGCATATCAAGCAAAGAATCAAGTCTATCATCCTGCCAATTATCCTAGGTGCATAACTGTTTGTATATTATGCAAGATGAAAATTATTATTTTGCCATGTGGTAGAATTTTGAGGTTGGCAATGAGTGCTAAATAGAAGTGTCATTTGAAATGTAATTTCTTCTAGCTTCAACATTGACTTCTTGCAAAGAGCAGTAAACATCTCACTCTCTTTAATTCATGTGCAATAAATATAGCAATAAACAGCAGCAAATGCCTTTGTTGTGAATGAATTGGCTTCAGCACAATCTGTCTATTTAAATGAAACTTTTTGTATGTTCTTAGAATAAAACGCATTCTTTAACATGTATTTTTCCTGTCATCACACCATAGAGTACAACGTTGCATCTTTTTAGTATTTTATTAGGATCCCCATTAGCTGTTGCTGAAGCAGCAGCTACTCTTCCTGGGGTCCACACAAAACATCAATAGACAAGAACAGCTCAAGGACTGAACTACACACATTTTAAATAAGAACAATAGAACCAAAAACGGTCCTAAGGACAGTTTCATGCATGCATACATTAGTACAAATACACTGAACAAAAATATAAACGCAATATGCAACAATTTCAAAGATTTTACAGAGTTACAGTTCATAATAGCAAATCAGTCAATATAAATAAATTCATTAGGCACTAATCTATGGATTTCACATGACTGGAAATACAGATAATGTATCTGCTGGTCACAGGTACCTTAAAGGAAAGGTAGGGGCGTGGATCAGTAAACCAGTCAGTATCTGGTGTGATCACCATTTGCCTCATGCAGCACAACACATCTCCTTCACATAGAGTTGATCAGGCTGTTGATTGTGGCTTGTGGAATGTTGTCCCACTCCACAGGAGGTTGGTGGCACCTTAATTGGGGAGAACGGGCTCGTTCTAATGACTGGAGTGGAATAGTAACAAATACATCAAACATGGTTTCCAGGTGTTTGATGCCATTCCATTTGCTCCATTCCGGACATTATTATGAGCCGTTCTCCCCTCAGCCGCATCCTGTGTCCCACTCCTCTTCAATGGTTTTGCAACATTTCTGGATATTGGTGGGAACTGGCACAAGCTGAAATACATGTCGATCGAGAGCATCCCAAACATGCTCAATGGGTGACATGTCTGGTGAGTATGCAGGCCTTGGAAGAACTGGGACATTTTCAGCTTCCAGGAATTGTGTACAGATCCTTGCGACATGGGGCCATGCATTATCATGCTTAAACATGAGGTAATGGCGGCAGATGAATGGCACGACAATGGGCCTCAGGATCTTGTCATGGTACCTCTGTGCATTCAAATTGCCATTGATACGATGCAATTGTGTTCGTTGTCCGTAGCTTATGCCTGCCCATACCATAGCTCCACCGCCACCATGGGGCACTCTGTTCACAACATCAAATCAAATCAAATAAAGCTTTATTTATACAGCCCATATCAGACATGGAATGCAACGCAATGTGCTTTACAGGAAAAAAAACAATTAAAATAAAAGCTGAAATATTTACTACACAACAAACATAAGATAAAAAACAAAATAATTACACAAACTGTCTCCTGTAGCTCAGTTGGTAGAGCATGGCGCTTGCAACGCCAGGGTTGTGGGTTCGATTCCCACGGGGGGCCAGTATGAAACATGTATGCACTCACTAACTGTAAGTCACTCTGGATAAGAGCGTCTGCTAAATTACTTAAATGTAAAAAGCACCGCAAAGCTAAAACATGTGTTTTAAGATCTCTTTTAAATATGTCCACAGTTTCAGCCCCCCTCAGATTCCCTGGCAGGCTATTCCAGAGGCTGGGGGCATAATAACTAAAGGCTGCCTCTCCATGCCTTTTGGTCCTAGGCTTTGGGATAATTAAAAGGCCAGTGACAGAGAACCTGAGGGACCTACTGGGTACATAACTTAAAAGCAAGTCTGACATGTATTGGGCTTCACAATCGTGGATTGATTTAAAAACCAATAGAAGAATCTTAAAAGGTATTTTAAAACTCACAGGCAGCCAGTGCAGAGACCTTAAAACGGGTGTAATGTGTGCTCTTCGTCTGGTCTTGGTCAGTACCTGTGCTGCAGCATTCTGTATGTTTTGCAGTTGACCAATGGCTTTCTTGGGTAGACCAGACAGCATTACAGTAGTCAAGCCTGCTTGTAATAAAAGCATGGATGAGTCTCTCTGTACCAGCCTGAGAGAGAAACGGCCGCACCTTGGCAATGTTCCTTAGGTGGTAAAGAGCTATTTTGGTCACATTCCAAAATGTGTGATAAAGAAAAATTGTTCAGTATCTAAAATAACACCTAGGTTTTTTACCTGGTGTTTTACCTTTATTGTCCGTGAATTAAAATGTGTGGCTAGATTCTCTCTCTATGCTTTGGCGCCAACAATAAGTACCTCGGTCTTGTCTTGATTTAGCTGGAGGAAGTTGTGAGCCATCCAAGTATTTAAATCACTAATACAGTCTAATAATTTATCCGTGGAGCTAAAATCATCTGGTGACACAGAAATGTAAAGTTGTGTATCGTCTGCGTAGCAGTGAAAATCAATGCTGTGCTTTCTGATAACGCTGCCAAGGCACAACATATATAAACTGAACAGTACCGGACCCAAAATCGAACATTGTGGAACGCCACGTGATATGTATTTTCACCAAGGGTGACAAAAAAACTCTCACCCGGTTAAAAAGGTCCTTAACCAATGTAGAACTGGACCGGAGAGGCCAACCCACCTCTCCAGTCTGTCCAGAAGGACATCATGGTCAACAGTGTCGAATGCAGCACTTAAATCTAAGAGTACAAGGACAGAGAGCTGTTTGGCATCTGTGTTGGCTCTAAGATAATTTACCACTTTAACTAAGGCTGTCTCTGTGCTGTGGGTGGCACAAAAACCAGATTGGAATTTTTCAAAAATACAGTTGGCACTTAAAAAATAATTTTGCTGTTTGAACACCAATTTCTCCAGAATTTTGCTTAAGAATGGAAGGTTGCAGAATGACCGAAGATTGCTAAGAGCTGAATAATCTACATTACTTTTCTTCAGAATGGGTTTCACCATAGCAGTTTTTAGTGCAGTGGGGAAAGTGCCTGTGGATAGGGAATGATTAACAATAGCTTGCACTTCTTCAGATATGCAATTAAAAACTGTTTTGAAGAAGGTGGTGGGGATAGGATCGAGAAGGCAGGTAGAAGGCTTAAGTTGTGATATCACTTTCCTGAGCATGTCTGTGTCAACCAGGGAATATAATTCCATAGTGCCTTTGCATGGTAGGCTAGGGCACATATCATCAACCTTCTCATCAGGTCTTACTTGACTGATATGTTGGTTATCTTATCTCTGAAATATGCAGCAAACTCATCACATTTAGATGTGGAGGAAAATTCACATAGGTTTGCGGGGGTAGGATTTATCAGGCCATCAATGGTCGAGAAGAGCACTCTCGAATTATTCTGATTAATAGTGATCAAGTTAAAAAAATTAGCCTGTCTGGCTAAATGCCTTGTTATACAGTGCCTTCAGAAAATATTCAGACCCCTTCACTTTTTCCAAATTTTTTTTAGGTTACAGCTTTATTCTATTTTATTTTATTTTTATGTCCTCATCAATCTACACACAATACCCCATAATGACAAAGCAAAAAACTGAAATATCACATTAACATAAGTATTCAGACCCTTTATTCAGTACTTT